TATATATATATATATATATATATATATATATATATATATATATATATATATATATATATATATATATATATATATATGCATATTTTCTGTAAAATACATCATATTGTGACTTACTCTACGTACTACACACTCTGTCTAGTCAACTGAATGCTGACTGCATCGTCAAGTTCTACGGAACCGCCATCGACAGACGTGCGAACCCCGTGCAGTTGGTGATGGTGTTTGAGCTGTGTAGCTGTACGCTGAGGGAGAGGCTGCTACAGGAACTCAACCCTGCACCGGCAGACTGCACTCGGCAGGACAAAGTACAGGTAAACAAGACTGGTAATGAAAACATACATTGCCATGGCGACGGTGGTTACTGTTATGGTTATTTTTTCAAGCCTTGGTACCCTCCCTTCCCCTGAGTGTGTAGTGAACGAGCCCCAGGGTTACAGAATGTAGGGCATCCGGGGCAAACAGGTATCCCAGTGGTTTCCAGGAATGTGGGCATGTCAAAAAACAGAGCTGGGAGACATTCCTGTTGACATTCCATGCCTGTGGACAAAATGCCATTCCAAGAATTCTTGTAAACTGCACACAATACTGTACCATTAGGCTCCTCCCTGAGACGTCGCCAAATATACAAGGCCTTTATATGTTTATTTTGTTTCACTACCTTTCGAAAATGTCTTTAATCTATCAGATTTAGTAACAATATATATATATAACTTTTTCAACACCTGTAAAAAGTGAGAAGGTAAAATGCCAGATACAAGGTTTTTGGGGTTTGATTTGTCATAATTTCATTTTGATGATACTCTTTTACAGGCCATGCTATGCGCTGCAGATCTGGCGAAACAAACTGCGAGTGCTTTGCGGTATCTCCATGATGACAAGGACGTCGTCCACAGAGACCTGAAGCTTGACAACATTTTCGTAAGACAGTCTAAATTGTATTATATCTCTTAAGCTATCTTACATTTATAGGCCCTATTATTACCAACAGGTCGTAGGTATGGTTTTGGGTGGGATTGTCTGTATAAGCTTGTGTGTATGCTTTTTTCGACCTTTATTCAACCTTGAAAATTACACTTTGGCCCCTTTGCAAGCGTTTACGGGGAGAGATCAGGGGTCCCAATAGCACAAAGATACAACATTAACGTATTTACAATTTCAAGGAAGAGTACTTTTCAAAACTTGCTTGTTCAGTTCAGACGGTTTCTGGGAGAGATGGTGGATATTTTGTTACTTCATTGAATTGGGTAATAGGTGTATGAAGTCAGGAAGTGGTTGACTATGTGTAATAACCGATTAAGTAGCATACTATACCATACTACATATATACTATATGTATATATGTGCTACTGAATTAATTAATTAATCAATTAATTAATCAATTTTTATTTACGTGTCTTGTGACATTTGTCGCCCAGCCCATATGGGCCCATTAGACACCAAAACATAAACATGAACATAAACATAGGTACAGAAATCATATAAACATAAATCCAAGTCCGAATCAAAAGGAAACATCAAATGGAATTGAAGAACTTAATTTTAATGCTACTATTTGCTGAAATAAGGAAGGCTGCCCATGAATCAACTTGTGAAACATATTGTTTATTTTCCAACAGTATAGAGGTGGGTATGAATTACTAGTATATCTGGTTTGCTTACATGTGGTCACTTCCAAAGGTTTATAATTTGTTGGAACAAGTGTTTAATCACTTAAAAAGGTTTCCTTCACACAGGTTAAAGACGATCCTTCCGGATTGCTACTAAAGCTTGGTGACGTAGGAGTCGCCAAATTCGAGAGGAAGATACAAGGAAGCCGGGCTGGAACTGACCTGTACATGGCGCCTGAGGTCTTACAGAGGTCACCTGTCTACGACAGGTAAGTTTTATTTCTTCATATGATATATAAAACGATTTTACCACACAGACAAAAAATTGACGTACAATTCTAAAGAAAGCTGCTGTTATAAGAAAGCCTGTTAATTGGGATGGTAAGGTGCTGCATATATAGCTGATGTTAATATCAATCTTTCTGTATGCTAATAATGTTCTATCAAAGAAAAAAGATTGTGTGTGTGTGAATAATTGCAGTGTAACTACAATGTATTCATTCTATACGAGTTTCTTAGGCAGCTAAATCGCTGTAACTGTGTCAATGCAATGTCTGAGAGAGGGGGAGGGAGAAATCGAAGACGAGCAAGTAAGAAAGAAGGGAATGACAAACTCTTAACGTAGTATTCCAACAAGGATATGAATGCTTAATACCCATGCTCATTCAATTGCAACATTTCGTAATCTTTACTTAGGAAAGTGGACATCTATAGCTTCGCCTTTGTCTTGTGGGAGCTATGGTACGGCAGACAGGCGGACCATGGACATCATCTGAGCGACAGTGAATTCCGCACGGCGGTCGTCACCAGAAACCTTCGACCAGCCGTGATAGAAGATCTTCCTTCACCTGAGTGTGACTGGATGAAGTTGATACAGGAATGTTGGGAGGGAGACGCGAAGATGCGCCCTTCAGCTGATCAGTGTGTTCAGCGTCTAAACAGTATCATAGACAAAATCAACACAGAAACTCCTTGATTTTTATTTTTACCTACCGTCAAATTATCCAAAGCCATTACATTACTGCAGATGGGAGAGATGCTTAGTATAGTTCCCATGCATTATTCAAGTTTCTCTAAGTGGCATGGATCTATTTAGAATGTGTTTGTTATGTGTCTCTACCGATTTACGTATGTGCATGACATGTATATGTTTACTAACTGATTTAATTGTCCAGTTCCTAAAGCTATGTGCTCTAAACTAATTTTATTATATTTTTTATATTCTGCTGTCACACGAATAACTTAATGTGAAAGAATATCACTAGTTAGAAATCATATTAGTTTATAGTAATAATGGAAAACTATTATAGTGATACGCTTTACAAATGCATGAGAGTTTTGTTACCAGTGTCGTAGTTTTTGATATTACAAATATTACAAATTATATGTTACATGTGAGGTATTTAGTGCAAAGACTAATGTTTATGTACAAATTATACATTGTATCAAAATGCAGTGTCAACTTACTCCATCTCTGTTTCACTAACTACAAGTTTACCGTTCAGTTTTGCTACCCCTGCTGATGTACATTTTGAATAATGCAAATAAAGGTAAATAAAGGTTATTCTTGCCCTGTTCTGCTTATTATTGTTTTCTCTGGTGCTGACCGATTGCGTTTGGTCAGTTCTTAGTTGACTCTAGATTCTGGACCTAAAATTGTATTAACCTTCTATCTTTTTTTTTAATTAGAGCAGTACTAATTGATGTTAACTTGAATTGTCACCCAGTTTGTTCTTATCCTGTTCTAGGGTTTATTCGTGCACTGACCTGGTAGAAAACAGGCAAAAGTCCATGTTAGTCTAACGAGATAGGGGACCCGGGTTATTTGCAGTAATAGATCAGACCACGGCCTTGTACAAACACCCCGTGTTGGCATCTGGTGGTAGGTATACGTACGACAGACTCAATTTTTAGTCACACCAGTCGGTAACATGGCGGCTAGGACACTTCTCGTCGTGTTGGCATTAGTGGTGATCTGCAAACAAGGTCAAGGTGAGTCATGGGTCCATCCACTTGCTTAGTTGCCTTAGTATGGAGATTAGTTATATTCTTTACGGCATGTTTATTGTAGAATTATGTATGGTGTGTGTAAAACTATAACTCTGTCTTGTACTGGCAGTGGGGGCAGTATTATACATGTATGTATATGGAGTAATACGCTGACGAAGGAAGTGTGTAAATGTTATAGAGGAGGCCTAGGTTTCTCACACTAAGGGAGTAGAACACAAAAAAACATCCCATTTATAGCTATCCTGCATAATAAAAAAAATAATGCTCGAGACGATCGTGAGTCGTATGCTGTGGTTTGTTTGTTGATTTTAGAAATTTCACGGATAAGATTTGGATGGATGGAAAATGGCTGCCCTGTGTGTGTGTGTGTGTGTGTGTGTGTGTGTGTGTGTGTGTGTGTGTGTGTTTCCGGGAAGGGAATTTTCTCTAACCTTCTTGACGGTAAAATGAAGGGATTCAGAGACGATTCATGGATCATCGGTGATCAGTGCACTAACAATTAAGTGTACAAACTACTATGAAGAAGACCTCATCGCCCCTATCATACATTACTATTTTACAGCCACAGCTTGCGACTCGACGATAGACGCAGCAGCTACACCTATTGGCGAGATTACATCACCAAACTACCCAAGCCCATATCCTAAAGACACACAATGTACCTGGACTATCACCGCACCGCCCGGGCAAGCCGTCACCTTGGACATAACTGACTTCAACATGTATGGTTTTTTTATTAGTGGTGGCTGCAGCAATCTGGACAAACTTGAAGTTTTTGAAGGCACGCCTGATACGTTGACACTAATTGGCACATATTGTACAGGTAGTGCCCCGGATAGTCAAATCGTGTCTTCAGGACCGTCCTTAACAGTGATCTTTACGTCGCTTGGAGGCAACTCTTTTTACAGAGGATTTCGTGCCACTTATGGCACTGTTCTCGGTGAGTTAGTATAATATCAATATCTTGAATACAGCCATTACATTAATGCAGAAATGCTCATTTGGCACATTCAATACAGAATCATTTCATAGTTACAATAGCTGTTGTAGTAACTAACATAACAATTAAAGAGACTATTTAAGAAGAAATAATGTAGAAATCAGTTGATGCTCTATTACATGTACGTATACCGTTTTAAAGCTGGTAAGCAACGGTGTGTGAACTAATATTTCCAAATTTCTGTTATGGCGCAGTTATTGCAAGAGAATGTCTTGAAAGATCATGGCTATTCTTTACTCCACAACATCTGAGTATTTGTGTTTCCTCCCATATTTAGGTTCAACTATTCCAACAGCATCAGCTGAAGTCGGTATGTACTATTCACAATGTATTGGACGTATGTTATCTATAAGCAATTTGAAAATTAACATCTGTTGCTTCGTGTGCTAAGGGCTCATATCTGTAAAATGTTCTACATGTACCTATGTATATAGGGGTATATTGCGATGATTATACAATAGAGTTCTAATGCAGTCTCGAGTGTTTGAAGTGGTTGTTCTTGTTGCTTGATTGGATTTTGTATGAGCAATATGGACGGACAGAAGCTGCATCAGCACTAAAGAGATAACACAGTCATGAATGCAGTCTAGGTATGAATGTGTGTATAGTGTAATGGTTTGCTGTTGGCAAAATTTTACGAAAGGGAGGGCCGTTTGTCAAAAGCCTATATACCTACATATTGGAAGTTTGCAACCTGCGATTTCTTATTTAATATTTTAAAAGACTATGTGCACGTGATGGCCAGAGAGTACACGTTTGTTTTTGGAATACATCGTACAAAGAAATATTAATCTCTTATTACTGTTGATTAGCGGTTCCTGATGACTGTTCAAACCCCCTTGGGATGGAGAGCGGCGACATTCCTAACGACCACATAACGGCATCTACAGAAGATGTTGGATACGAGGCTTGGAGAGGCCGTTTGAATAATACCAACAAGGCGTGGCAGACAAACACCGTAGATACAGACCAGTGGCTCCAGATCGACCTTGGAGGTCAGAAGGTCATCACAGGCGTCCAAACACAAGGTCTGTGGGGAGGGCACACCAAGTCTTACAAACTGTTGTATTCTGACGATCAGCAAACATGGAAGGTATATGGCGACGATGGGGGCCAGGTAAGTGTGGCTTATGATAGCTCCTTAAACTACACGTGATGAAACATTACGATACTTAAAATGTGTATAATGTGTTATATCTGATTTTATAACAATAACAGATATTGTTATAACAATAACAGATATTGTTATAGATCTTTACAGGTAATACTGACGGACCCACAGTAGTGGAACAAACCCTGCCGACTCCAGTCCGGACACGGTACATCAGGATAAACCCACAGACATGGCAAGGCAACACGTACATTCGCCTGAGGACAGAGATACTTGGATGTGATGGCAAGTATTTTTAGTCTTGCTGATCAGTAACCTTTTCTGATGCAATCATGGTGCAATTGAGAACACAAGAATAATTGACACCATTCAGTTGCAGTTTTTTAGAATTAAAGTTTGTCAATTAGAATGAAAGTATGATTTTTTATTCTCCGAAGCAAATAAAAATTTATCTCAAAATCCATTTTTGTAAGAGTATATGGATTAATGAACTCAACAAGGATTATATGATAAAATTAATTTGAAAGTGGAAAGTAAAACTGTATTAAGTTATAGATATAGTGCATTATTTGCGTTCGGAAATAAAATTTAAAAAATGAAATGCAAACATATTTTTCCAAAGCCAAAGGACAACTACCAAGTTAACAATATCATTTTATGATATCTAGTGCCAGCAGCAGACTACTGCAGTCCTAACCCATGTGACCACGGTACATGTGTGGCTGAATCAGGCGGTTATAACTGTACCTGTGAGGACGGCTGGGAGGGAGTCAACTGTAATAACAGTGAGTACAAATATGTTTGTTGAGACACATTTGATATATATATAAGTGTGTGTGTGTGTGTGTGTGTGTGTGTGTGTGTGTGTGTGTGTGTGTATGTGTGTGTGTGTGTGTGTGTGTGTGTATATATATATATAAAGGTTATGCCCATTCAACCTAATTTGAATTGAAAACATAAAATTCCATGAAATAGTTTTCAAGTAAACCTATCAGCTCATATGCACCTGTCCATAACCAGATACAGACGACTGCAGTGCTGACCCCTGTCTCCACGGCACCTGTACAGACGGTGTAGCGAGCTACACTTGTAGTTGTGAGAACGGATGGGAAGGTGACAATTGTGATCAGAGTAAGTGCACGTGAGTGTTTTAGTCCATAGGGCATACCGCACGTTTGTTCGAATTGTATAAAAGAGTACAATTTTCCAATAAAATACGTTATGTAAGGATTTTCTTTTTAAACTTTAGGCCAATGTGGTTTGCTCTTCATTTCCTCAGACATAGATGACTGTGCGGCCTCCCCCTGTCTCCACGGCACCTGTACAGACGGTGTAGCGAGCTACACTTGTAGTTGTGAGAACGGCTGGGAAGGTGACAACTGTGATCAGAGTGAGTAATGTAGACAATTAAGGTTATATCAATTTTGACATCCCTTCAAGAATTGAATATTGGAATGGAATTCCTTTAAAACGATCACCCTCTATGTTTTGAATATGTAAATCAGTTAACTTTAAAACAAACTCTGCAATCTTATTCAATTTGTCCCGTACCTAGATATTAATGACTGCAGTCCTGACCCCTGTCTCCACGGCACCTGTACAGACGGTGTAGCGACCTACACTTGTAGTTGTGAGAACGGCTGGGAAGGAGACAACTGTAATCAGAGTGAGCACTAATTGATTTTCATCAAAGTTATCCCCTAAATCCTAATAGTGATGCTTTGTTGTACATGTACATTTAAAGATACAAGTGTAAATATGCTTTCTAATTCAAAGTAGGATTTCATGTTATCAATATTAACACGATATTTACTATTCCTTAATGACAATGTTTTCTTTGTCATCACATATTTTTCAATTCAGTAAACAACAAACCTAACAAACATTTTTTTTACATAATCAGACACAGACGACTGCAGTCCAGACCCCTGTACACACGGCACCTGTACAGACGGTGTAGCGAGCTACATTTGTAGCTGTCAGAACGGCTGGGAAGGAGACAACTGTGATCAAAGTGAGTGATACATGTACATGTAGATCGTTTCACGAACATACTGCGCATTTATTTTGCATGTGTGCAAGGAAAGTACATGAATGTTATGACTATGGGACAACAAGGTGTTTTATGATAACATAATATGATGTAATTGCGAACTTATATTTAGAACTTTGTTTAGATTGCTGTGACATTTCCTTAGACATAGATGACTGTGCGGCCTCCCCCTGTCTCCACGGCACCTGTACAGACGGCGTAGCTAACTACACTTGTAGTTGTGAGAACGGCTGGGAAGGAGACAACTGTGATCAAAGTGAGTATCCCATTACATTTGTAAACATACATTTCATTTTGAATCTAGGAATGCCCTTACACGCATAATAGAAAATATTTCATTTCATTTTTTTCACCACCGTAAAAAACATGATTATTATCAACGTTGAAGGAAAGGAACATTTAAACTTTTCTTTCTTCTTCTCGTTTTTTTTTATTAAAGAAACATTAAACCTAAGACAGCATCACATTGCTCATCTTAATCAGATACAGACGACTGCAGTCCAGACCCCTGTACACACGGTACCTGTACAGACGGTGTAGCGAGCTACACTTGTAGTTGTGAGAACGGCTGGGAGGGTGTCATCTGTGATCAAAGTGAGTAGCTTTAGTACAATCACATTTCTGAAATCCAGACAACTCTAGATCTGCATGTCGTAGTTTTCATAAAGTAAATTACTTAATGCGTAACTTTTTGTTCAAACAGCACACTTGACTTGGCAGAGTTACCACGAGTGCATGTCATTTACATTAATGATCTGATACATAGATTATGACTGGAAACCTTTCGATGCTTTATATTTTCTAATATTCTAATATCGGAACCTTTCCCACGCGTAGATACAGACGACTGCAGTCCAGACCCCTGCCTTCACGGTTCCTGTCATGACCAAGTAGCCGGTTATACCTGTACCTGTGATCTCGGTTGGGGTGGAGTCAACTGTAGTGATGGTGAGTATACGGTTGCGCATAGGACTGCATTGTAATGTAAACATCAATACCTCCGAATAACTTGGAATCCTGTCCCTTCTCTTCTCCTGTCCTTGCTATGCGCGAACCTAAGCACGAGCTTCTGCGATGTAGTTCAGCCGCGCGCAAAGCTATCAAAGATGTCAACGGTTAAGACATAGTGTAATAGAATACAGCAATTATTTTCCATTTTCAGTTTTCACAATAACACCGCTAAATTTCCCTACAATATTGTCTCTCACCTGTGTTTTGCAACCAACTTGAAACAAAATTCGCACACTGATGACAGCAAAGTATTTTATGGTAGATGTTTTAGAATAATTTTGTACCTTTGTGATCACATCAACGACCTAGCAATTTCAGTATTTCATTGTTTTACCACAATATGACAACAGGCATTACTCTACAGCATTGCGATTCGTAATAAGTACATGTAAACATAGCCTTATGTAAACGTTCTGGTCATCCTTCTTACATACACGAGATGCAAGAGGATCAACATCTTCAGGAAAAAGTTTGTTAGTCCCCAAACAGGTATGGCATACTTTCCTGATAAACAGAGGCAAGTACAACTTTATTGCATATCTATCTCCTATCTCAGTGTCAGACATAGAAAATACTGTGAGGCTAACCCATCAGTTTACAGGGAAAGTGGTGTCGATTGCGAAGCAAACTTCCAACACTGGGCCATGCATGAAAGAAGGAACAAGTCGCCTGACAAGGTACCATCATAAATTGTTTTACGAATAGCTTTGCCGTGTTCGCGAATCATTTGTTGGTAAAGGTATTTCAGCACAGCCATCTTTTCTCACCTGCAAACGTATCTGCAATACAGTATATGTACACTGCTGCCTACCTACGTACTATATACTGACTAATATTTGTTTGAGAAAGGAGCAGTAGTGTTACGCCTTAGTTGGTTGCTGAGAATATGACTTAAATAGGTTTCTCGTTCATATTGTTATACATATTGTTAACGTCATAACATACTATTAGTCTTTCTAGTCCACGTCTTCTTATAGTGAGGAGAGCGGCTAATATTGCGAGCTAACCACTACTTCTATGAGGCAGTGACTCCCAACTTAACACCATCAGAAAAACAGCACAGGCACTGCTACAACCGGGCTCTAACTACCGTTTCCTTGAGTGATTATGTTCGTCCAAGATCTCAAACTTTGGTCTGTCACGGGATATCTACGAGGAGACTGAGTACGTCAAGAGTACGAAGGTATCATGTCTCCGTCATCTCATATTCTTTAAAACTAATATGACCTCGAAATGTCGATGAATGAAGGTGCTCTGGAACAAATACGAGTTGCTTGCAAATGTCAAGAATGACATGTGTTCTTATAACAATGCTATTTCCTAATTCAGAGCCATCTTCCCGTCCGTTGGATGGCATAGTACTAGTTGTATAGATTCATATCGCAGATGCAAATATTAAATATTCTGTACCCAACAGTTACGATGTGATGAAGTGCTGTTGGGAGACCCTCCCGGAGAACAGACCAACTTTCCCGGACCTGAAGGTGACAAGATTACAAGGTACCATTTCCTCTCAAAGATGTATGATCTTTGTTTATCTTTTCATCCTCTTTGAAACAGACCTATCCAGTACCTGCAGTGCTATCTTGTACCAGGTAGCACAAGTACCAGGCCACATTATGGCTGCGATTAACAATTGTCTTGAATTTGGAAAGTATAAAGTATTACTTCTTTCTTTTGCAGACACATGCCTCACTGATGAAGTAAGAAACTGCGAACAGAAAGAGAGAGACAGAGAAGAATCCTTTTGCCAATTGAAACTATCATTTTTTAGATAATGTATAGCCAGAATGGCTTATGTATACAATCCTAGGAATATCAAGCATAAGAGCAATATCGTACACTAATTATGGAACATTATATTACTCCCATGAAGATTCATTTTTGTCACAAACAGTACATATACTGCACAGGCTAGAGCATAACCTAAGAATATATTAAGGACAATTCACTGTAAATCTTTTAGCAAAAAACAATTCATTGCTTACAATTCTTATTCAATATATTTACATCATGTATTTTTTCATTATATCTAACCAAGAATAACAGTGGGGTATGTCCCATCCGTGGAGCTGACTTTGCACAATTGAAAACATGACAAAAAAACAACAAAAAAAACACTGTAGAACATTTCCAACTTCCTTCACCACAGTAACACAGTTTAGTACTAAAACAAAATGGATACTGGAACAAAAATTCCAAACATACCTGCCACCAAAGTCACAGTAGCTTGACAACAAAATCAGTAATGTTTTAACATTAACCTCCCTGGCACTACTTGTTATAAAATTGCTGTCAATGTCAGGATTATATCATTACAACATTCTAATACTGCAGGACATTTGAATTGCATAACATCACAATGAAGAGAAAATTTTCAGCCTCTATAGACTAACCCTATCTAATATATATATATATATAACATATATATTCAAGTACTATTCCTGGTAAAGTCACAAATGTTCCATACATTTCATTTCTGTATAAGCTTTGGTCTAGAAGTACAATGTACATACTATTGAGTTAACAATAGTGTGGTAGCATATTTTTGATAGTGGCAAAAAGCACCATCTAACTTCACTGACCTACAGCAAACTGTGTAGGGCATTAATAAATACATAAGCATGGCAATCTAACTCCCTCCACAGCAGATATTTCAGTAAATGGACATAGATGGATATGTGTGATTGACACAAAACTTCTATCCTGTAGAATGTAGCTACCACAAGTATGCTCCAAGACATAATTATACAATATATAATACTAGCAACAGAATCAACTTGTACCTCAATTCCAGGCTGCACAAAAATACAGCACAGAATACAGTGGACATGGAAACCTTACATGTACTTTATCCAACATCATACAACCATGAGGTAGTGTATCCTCAGGATTTTTAGAATAAGGTTCAAAAGGCAAAACAGCATATTGCAAAAAGGACATTAACTATGTAGATGTACACACAGACTATTAACTGCTATGTGAATGTACCATATTATGAAAAGGTTTATCTTTGTTGCATTATCTACATGTAGTTAAATCTTGAGTAGTGGGAATCTAAATTGAAAATAAAATCTTTTGCAAACTCGTGCCTGCAGAACAACTAGAAAAAAATAATAAAATGCAGGGTGGAATATGTATGTACAAAAAATAGTTAATATAGTCAAGGAATTACATGTAGTGTGGTGTACATTATTTAGGCTGAAGGCTCCAGGCCTAACCATTTTTTTTTTCATTAGAATACCGAATCTGTTTCTCTGTGTATGTCTGGTTTAATTATGATGTATTATACATGTAGTTATTTTAGTTTTTCATATGTAATACCAATTGACCTACCTGGTGATCATCCTAAATGTTGTTTTAAACATGTTTATGTCTACAAGTATATATAGGTATATATATACCATATTTGTATGCTCCCTTTTGCTGCATTGTTATGTACAGAGCTGTACAAAGCTGTAGTTTATTTGAATACTATAATGATATGTGTATCGTAGCTTTTCTTTCTACAGTTAAACTCTACTTGCATTTGTAGGAAGGCAGCCAACACTCCCTGTTCCCTAAAACTGTGGAGGAATGATTTAGGTCCTAATAATTTGTATCACAAAAAAACTCTTCCTCTCTTTTTTTTGCATATTTATGTACAATTCTTAACAAGAGATCATGTTGTTAAACATCCAGACGCACTACCTGGCACCATGCCTACTGCATTATCTCTCGAGCCTGACACATGAGAGAATACATTGTATAACCACCCATACCTGTACAAGACATACATGTACAAACTCGTCCACAATCTTGGCACTACAGCAAAACTACCAGTACTGGAGAAGTGCTTCTGCCTTCCTTTTGCCATCTGTAGTCTAGATTCAGACATGGTCAAATGGCCCTCTGGGGGGGGAACCTTTGCCTTATAGCCTAAACCCCAGAGAAGTGCTCCTGCCTTCCTTTTGCCATTTGTAGTCTAGATTCAGACATGATCAAATGGCCCTCTGGGGGGGGAACCTTTGCCTTATAGCCTAAACCCCAGAGAAGTGCTCCTGCCTTCCTTTTGCCATTTGTAGTCTAGATTCAGACATGATCAAATGGCCCTCTGAGGGGGAACCTTTGCCTTATAGCCTAAACCCCAGATGAAGACATAACCAAACAGGCCTCCAGGAGCCTGTGACTAATAGCCTCTGATTCAGACATCGTCAAACAGGCCTTTCGGTGGAGCCTGCGACCCGTAGCCTCTCCCTCCCGTCCAGCGGGACCCTGTAGCCTGGCGACTTGACCTCCCTGGAAAACACAACAAACTACATTTGTAGAGAGGTAACATGTCCAAAGCAAATGCATGTGGTCTGCTCTTTTAATTCTTACTCAAACACATTCACATATATGGTGACAGGAGTCTAAATCCCTCCTACTATAAAATTGCAACATCATGTAACCCAACACCAGTTACCATGGTGTGAGACCTGGTCATTGACCAGGTCAGAGGTCAGTGTTTGGAACAGAAGAAGAAGAAGCAACAGATTTTAAAAATATGTTTTCCTTCTGTAAACATTAATATTTCCAAAAAGAATTCAAAGCATGATCACATCTGATAAATCTAAATCTGTTACAGGGATCTAATCTTATCACTACAGTCAAACTAAGCCGACTTTCTGTTTTTACTGCCTGCACATGTCTGTTTCAGTTGGGTAGTCAAACTCTTCCCATGCTAATTAGCAACCATTAGAAGCAGACCCACCTGCTTGGGAGCGGGTGTACTTGGCTCGATCAAACTCCTCGTTCTCCGCAAGGCTGTCATCGTAGTCGAGAGGCTCCGAGTCCTGTGAAAAGAACAACAACAACAAAAAACATTTGTTTGCATTCATAACAAAAAGACAGAAAATTGTAGCTAAACCAATTATTGTGGAAAGCATTAAAACTCTTCAATGCTTGAATAAACTGAGGGGTACAATTCTGGTAGGGATTACAAGGACAACCCCTTTATAAGCTGCAAGCTGATGTTACAATGTATGTGTAGAAGAAACAAGTTACAGGGAAGCTACATACAAACAATACTGAACCTAGAAACAAGGCAGGTGAGTACTTACCTTGAGTAGCTCCACCTGTGCACTGTCATCCTTGTCCTTTACGCGGCTGTACTTGGCTGAAGAGACAAACATACAAGCAGTACGAACACTGTGAGCTGATGACACATGCCTGTTACCACGCTTTACCTCAAAAACAACCCACCTGCCTGTGCAACTCCACATGCTTGGTAACAGCTGTTACAGTGGGGAAGAAGTCACATGTAGATGGACAAGAACACAGTTTACAAACAGCTACTATGACCCTCTTTGTTCTGGCATTTTTCCTTAGGAACAATTCAAAAATTTTCCATAAACTGGCATACATGTACGCAAACTGAAAGGTCCATTACACTGAAGGGCATGGTCTTGGGGTGTGTGAAACTTAATATAAACTGACAAGAACAATATTGGAGAAACACAGCATGTACAATGTACAGGGAAAGTTGCAAAAACAAAGCTGCAGAGTCAGCAAAAAGGTAAACAGATTAAGAATTATGTTACTCTGAAGAAAAACACTCCAAGGAACAAGGCAACAGGAGCATTTCAAAGACTGGACATTCCTAATTGTTAGGAGGAAAAGTGTTTTGTTACCGTTTCATCCTGAAAAGGCTTCAACACATAAAAAGTGAAGTAATTAAAGCACTGCAACTGGCAAACACAACTGTTAACACTTGAAAAACAGTGAGGTGTTAAAGAAGAATAAATGCAAGACAGAAAGGAGATTTACATGTACCTAGCTGGGAAGCGATTCTGTGCAGCAGACTGGATTCTGAAGAAAGGAAGGGAGGGAGTACTTTTGGATTGGTGGAGGGCGAAGGGCACATTCGTATACATGGTCATGTATGTGTACAGTGATATATGTGTACAGTGTGGAAGAGGACAAAACCATAGATGGATACATGCACAGTCTGGGGGAGGGGGGCACATTTATGTGAACAGTGTGGAACAGTGCATATGTTGGTGTGGAAGTGGGGCGCATGGAAACATAAATGTTATGTTAATCAACACAATGCAATTTACATTCACATAATGCAATTTACATTTATTATTAAATATTTGTTGTTCATTTCTCTATAATGTACATGTATGTGTTTGATGTTTGGAATAACTGCAAAACAATTCAAAGAATATTCAAATCATAATCATTTCCAACAGAACAATATCATAAGAAATGGGGGGGGAGAATATGTTAATTACTTGACTTTGAACCAAAAACAAAGTAAAAGCACAAGTAGACTAGATGGGAAAGGTAAATGAATGTCAACCACAACTTAGTCAGAAACAAAAGTTGAGAACTAAACCAGAAAACATAGTACCACAATGGGGATATGTGTTGGGAGAATGATATGTCAAACAACAGTGTGTAAGATCACTGCACCATCTAGGAGAGACAATTACCTTTCCCATATAGAGCACCTGACTTCATACTCCCTCTACCTGAGTCACTGTCGCTGGCATCACGGTTCTGCAACGAGCTGGCACGATCCTTTGTTGTACCGTAACGGTCTCTCCAGGACTGGAAATGTACAACACAAATTGATAATTGATTCAACTGAAAAAGCAAATAACTCAATGTTGTATGCATTAACAACCAAGTAGGAATATCTTACACTTCATGCTATTTTATGTCAGTATTAACATGATATAATAACAAATCACTACAACAACACAAGAAAAAAATACACAATTGTCAGTCTCTATTTTAGGATACTTGCATCCATCCATCCATCCATCCATCCATCCATCCATCCATCCATCCATCCATCCATCCATCCATCCATCCATCCATCCATCCATCCATCCATCCATCCATCTATACCTTTCTTCTGGCTTCACCGTCCTCAACCCTCTGTCGTTTTCTCTTTTCTGAAAAGATGCATTAAACGGACATTGAGTTGTAAGACTTCAGAATGCCTTTATGAATACCACTACATAGTATTACATGTGACATACACCTAGACCTACTTACAACACAGTACATTCTTCTTCAAAATTCTGACTTGTAACATTCATTTAGTAACCTAACAGAGGCACTGGTAGATGGACAACTAATATAAAATATGCAAGAAGTCGCTGTGGCTTTTTCTGAAATATATCTCCCTTTCTTACCTCGTTTTATCATTTCCTTGCCTTCCTCGATGAGGTCAGAGGTCATATCGTCATCACCGATGAACTGTTGGAAGCCGAGAAGTCCCAGACAACGGTTGCCGACGCTGAAGAACGTTCCCAAGGCAACGACAATCACCAGGATGGGGTAGTAGATATAGAAGCCATCAGAGAGGAAGGAGATGACATCCATGTGGCCCATGATCTAAGGGGCAGGAGAGTTAAACGTTTATTCTCATAAGAAATTCAAATTCTATCATTCGACAAATATAGAACGACGCGCAGTGTGCAAAATACCTGGTTGCCCAGTTGACCTATTTTTGAAACTAGGTAGCCCAGTGTGCTACCTGAATTTTAAGAATGCCCCCCCCCCCAAAAAAAAATCATGCCCACTTGGCTTGCACCATGTACAATGTATCTGGCAGATGCTTTTTAATTTTAGGTATAAATGGCTATTACTAGTATCAGTTAACTAAAGGCTGTTAGTGTTACAAATATTGTAAAAGGCTTATGTATGTAACATTTACTTAATTTAGTGGGGCAACCTGAAATTCTGATTGGCAACCTAATTTTTGCCGTAGGTTGCCCACTGCCCACTGGGTTCAAAAAAGTATTTTGTACACTGACTCACAGGAGGGCTGGGATAGAGGGTTGTCTCTTAGTACATATATTTCAAATGCAGGCATCTTGTTTTTTTTTCTGCCTTCCTATTTTTTTTGTGCTCTCGCATTAGATTTAGGGCCTTCAGAGGACGTCATCCATAAAAATTACTTAATGTGGCCTAACCTTGATATAAAGCCTTACCGAGGTGAAAGCTGACTCAATCTCCTGGTCTTCATTTCCTGTCACATGTTTGTCCAGGTGGATCATACCAAGAAAGTTCAGACACAGGGGGGGAGTCAGACGGCACAGTAGCCTGTGGACAAAGAAACAAAAGTCAAACTCTGTATCAGGGTGCCCAATAAATACCACAAAGAAGAATCATCCAAATGAACTAATTTTATAGACCAATATATGTAAAATATTAGATTGACATGCAGTTCTTTTTTTTCTATAATGCGCTAAGTAAACAATAGCCTGGGTTGTGACATTACAGTAAGACTCCTGGCTAATCATTGGTTTGCAGCAACTGCAAGGTTATAGCAGAAGTACTGGTGGTGGAAAGAAAATGCCAGTGTACTCTTGTTTTAAATGACTAGAGGTTGTTGTCAGTGATCAGCCCAACCACATTGTCTGCGAGACTGTTCCAGATGTGTGCTGCAGTACATGTATGTATGAAAGTTCTGCTGGTGGAGTGAGTTCTAGAGACTGTAACAATAGACTAACTACACTTTGGTTACTATATTCCTAAAATTTCAATAAAAGGCTATTCCAAACTCACATGCCACTGAACAGCAGACTGTTGGAGTCAGTCTGGTGGTAAGGTGCGATGTAGTAGTAGTTGAAGATGCGGATTCTGAACACGGTGAAGTAGACACACACACACAGGTACGTGATCGTCAAGCAGCTAGCCAGCTGTAAAATATGGTAAGAGCTATCAACACAAAAACACACACAGATGAGATGTGTATTCTCTTCAAAATGACATCTGATTCAGTGGAAATGGGGAAAACATAAAAGATGTTAGTAATCAAAATGTTATCAAATGACAGACAATGTGGTCATTACAGACACAAGAAGACGGGGGATGCCGTAGACTTTCTGCAATCTAGCATTGTGTGGGGTCGTGTGGCGCAACGGCAGCGTGCGCGACTCGGAATCAAGAAGTCCCGGGCATGCCACCGATCTTCCGCCCTTGGGAAAGGCACTTTACACGACTTTCCCCACTAGACTCAAGTGAAAATGAGTATTGTCTGTCCAGTATTTGTTTCTATGTGCGGGACACAACACCTGCAACAGATGCCTCTGTTACGCGTGTATTGCATGCACTGTTGCTATTTCAATAAATCAAATCAATCATTTATTACTCACCTAGCCAGTAGGTCATCAACATAAATTGATGTCACAGAAAATGTGATTTCTCATTCTTCGACAAAGACAGGAGTTGTACAGTCAAAAATTTTGGTAAGTCCAATATCTTGTTTGGAATATTATAGTTTAAACTTGCTTCATAAGAAGAGTTGCCCTCTACAACTACGAATACACAATGTCATGTAACAGAAAAAAACCCCACCTCAATGTAAAAGTAGTCATAGTTTTTGGCTGCCACGTTGATGAAGATGGCAAACAGGGACAGAACTGGCTTCTTGTTGAAGAAGGTGACCTCTGACCAGATGACCACGAACGAGAAAACGGCCAGGATGACCGTCAGGACCTTCAACACCCAGGGTCGCACCAGGCACTTCCAGTACCATTCTGGGGAAAGGATGGAGGTAAAACACAGTTATGTGTATGTGAAATGCTTGAATACATTACTGAGGTCATCCCTGGCACATTATGGAAAATCTAACTGAATGTCCAGTATAATTGAAGGTTAGGTGATTGACAGTAGCTTCTGACTTACCCACAGTTGGTGTGCAGACATGCTTCAGGATCCCTGTGTAATGTTGGGGGAAGGTTGACCGGAATCGTCTGGAACAGAAGAAAAAACAGTGTTACATACACGTTATGAATTTTTTATGTACTAAAATTCTTCCTAGAGGCTTCCAGGGACTAAACAGGACTTTCTTTAACCATTTCTGAAACCAATGAATGTACATTATGGGATTTCATATCAAATTTTCAAAGCAAGCACACCGTCATAACTCCACTATGGCTTTCCATACTGTTATCAACCAACAAAAACCAAGCAAAGGCTGTGAAATTATGCAATGTATTTCTCTCAAAGAGTTGCCTAGAAAGCAATCCTTGTTTGAGGAAATATAAAAGTTGCACAGACTGACCTATCAGCACATTTCTCACTCTCTGCGATGTCCTCCAGTCCGAAGGCCCTCTCCATCAGGATGTCCCATTGGATCTGAGTGCGGTGCTGACTCGTGACGGCGCGGATGGTCTTCCTGTGCAGGGCCACCAGGTCCTTCCCAGACGGGATACTGGCTGCCCGCCCGTCAGGATAGTCCTCGTAATCATCCATCCCACGGTTCAGTCTGCCCTGCATGTCTTCTGGGACCTGGGAGTAACAAGAATAAAACTTGTTACAGTTTTTCTCTTCTAACATTTATCACAATACGTGGCGACGGCACACTCAAGTTTTTTTTCAAATTTCTTTTTATGCCGCCACCAACGCACGGATAACATACTCATTTCCACTTGAGTTTAGTGGGAAAATTCATGTAAAGTGCCTTTCCCAAGGGCACAAGATCGGTGGCATGGCAGGGTCCGAACCTGGGACCTCTTTGTTCCATGGTGAACATTTAACTGTTACGCCACACAACCCCAGTTTCTTTTGAACACCTTCTGCCATTTACAAATTACCAGTACACTGGTTACTTTTAAATTTGGAAAAGACATAAGAGTTTGGAAATTGTAACTTGAGTTCTGAGAAAAATACAGACACCATAGATGGAAGGATGGTATTTCCAATAACATGTTAAAACTTCACAGCATATTCACATTTCACACATACATGTACATGTACCCTACATTTAGATTCATTAGGCCACACCAATTTAATTTCTTGGTTAACGGATTCGCCCGCTTCATTTTTTTCTAATTTGCAAATAAAAATAAAAATTCAAAATCAACTGCAAAATGCTCATATTTTGCCTTGAACAGTTGAAAACAGTCCTTTTCATCCTAGTTGTTACAGTTATTCCATCTTTCAATGCAATGGTATCATTAAAAGTTCAAAATTCATTGTTTAAATTTTGAACCAGCCTGGTGTGTTGACTTCATGGCTCCTATCATACCATTTTGTGCCATAATAGGATGCCTAGGTCTGTTTTTATTTTTACTTTTTTATCGCCCGCCCGCTCCATTATTTCTCTAGAAAAATCCGTTAACCAAGAAATTAAATTGGTGTGGCCTTAGGGGTTTCTTTTTCAAACTGCTGGTGTCTAAAGTGATCATTGTTAGATGTTTGTATGGAGCAAAACTTGCAGGACTACAGAAAACCAAGAAGAGAACCCCGACCTTTCTCAAGATAGTGTCCATGTACTTCCTGTGGGGATGGTTGTACCGGACAGCTTCAGAGGCCTTGGATACCTCCTGTAAGATGTAAAGACAGGAATAAGTGACTTTACACATCATACAAAATTTACTTGCTCTTGTCTGTAAGTTCAAGTGTCCCCTTCTTCAATAAACAAATAGAATGCATTGTCACATTCAAGCAATGATTCCATTTCCTTAAATTCCATAACTGTTACAACACATTCAAGTTACTACATGTCGAGACTTCAATCATCCCTAAACTTGTTTTGTTTGTTTGTTTGTTTGTTTGTTTAGGATCTCCATTAGTGTGAATTTCACACTACTCTTCCTGGAGTCCATAGAGAATAACTATTAAGTATTTGGACCATCGCACACTGGGGCATGCTACTATTCTTTTCGAAAGTTGTGGTGGGTTCTTTAACGTGCGTGGGGTGTGGCTCTCCCCAAACACAGAACCTCCATTTAACGTCCTATCCGAGGGACGTCCCTAACCGAAGCTAGGTACTCATTGTCATTTTCACCTGAGTAAAGTGAGGAAAGTCGTGTAAACCTCTTGCATGGTTCAAGGCCGAACACACTGCCCTTACGCCACACGACCCCAAAACTTTACCTCTACATTACAAGCCACAACACCTATTTTCCTGAACAACAGTCTATGCTAACCTCCAGCACATCTTCCAGGGTCTCCTCTGCATCAGACTTGTCGGTGCTGAGTTTGGCCACCTGGAAGCGCGTGTACGCCAGCAGCTGCTCCCGATTGGACGACGTCCAGCACTTCCGCGGCACCTCCACCAGCCCATATCCTAGCAACAGCACCAGGAGGAACAGGCCCCAGGTGTTGCTCGCAGTGATGCCTATCATCTTCAGGCGAGGCCTGGGGAGGGAGAACAAAGGTTACAATTCTTGTACCAAACCACATCCTAGCAACAAACCGTATCCTTGTGACAGATTGTGTTATAGCAACAGCATATCCAGTGATGAGTTAATTGCCTTTATTCATAAATTGATAAAACATTTGTCTCATTCACTGAAACCTACAATGCAGAATTATCTGCATACATTTGTACATTCCAGTCTACCTCTAGCAACAAAGCCAAACAATTCCTTACAACAGCATGACTCCATCCCCTAGCAACAGATCAAATAATAAAATTAGTGGGGTCGTGTGGCATAACGGCAGTGCATTCGGCTCAGAACCAAGAGTCCCCGGGTTCGAACCCTGCCATGTCACTGATCTTGTGCCCTTGGGATAGGCCCTTTACACGATTTTCCTGGATGGAGCCACAAAAAGGCAACAAAATTTTCAGCTAGTTGAAAGCAGCTGCCTCAAAATGAAAGAAGAAAAAGAAAGAAGAGGCCTTGAATATATGGATGCTGAAACTGAAATCTCAGCCAAAAAACTGTAACACAGTTGCTGTACATGTCACCCACTTTTCCCTCCAGCTTAAATGTTGAAATATAGAGGTCTCTTCACGTATTAAGATACCAATTCCTGTATTTCTAGGAGAACTATGTGTGAAACTACACTGAAGGTTTTGTCAGCACTTACCCATCAATTTGCAGGTCAGGCCTGGCTGCTACATAGATGAGTAGAGCACCAAAGATGAGCAGGTAGCTCCCGTAGTAGATCGCATTCTCGATCAAGGCAGTCTTGATCTTACCCTGGATGGTAAAGTCTCCTGAGGTGGCGTAGGACTGCATGAAGGGCAGGATTAACCTGGGGAAGGCAGAGAAACAAAAGGTCTTGTTAGAATGGCCTGAATATTGCTACATTTTGAAAAAAATGTTGATCATAAAATAAGAAGCAAATCACCCTTTCTTCCTCCATACACCACCTCTTAGGAGGTAGTTCCACGCTGAAAGCTTTTTTCCTAGAACAACATCACTATGGAACAATTCAAGTCTAAGGTCAACAAATGTCTGTCTTTACTGGCTGTACAGTAACCCAAAACATTTGAGTGGCTCCCATGAGCCTTGTTTTGTGGTGAATCATGAAGTAAATAAAGAAACAAGTACGTCTCGTTTCGTTTATGCACAAAGAATACTTTCCAAAACACACACACATATACTAGAACAAGTAGGACCAGATTGCAGAATGAACTAAAGGGCTGGGATTCAAACCCAGGACCTTTAGCTCACCATGTGAGTATCTGTGAGGTCCAGTACACCACGTGCCACATGTTGGGCAGCACGTGTTCCTGTACGTAACTCCAGGGGACCTGGCAGGTGGGCGTGTCAAACAGCGCGTCCCTCCTGACCAATGGCTGATCATCGTTCCCCGTGACGTTAGAGGGGGCGTCTGTGTAGGACTGGTTGGTGTGGGGGGTGGCGTTGGTAGTGGGGGACAGGACGGCAGCAGGGGTGACAGGGGGCTGTATGCTCCCCAGACAGATCCTGTAAAATGTCTGGAAGAAATGCAGAACACACCTGAATGTACTGGCATATAGTTGTACAAAATGTACTTAGTATATCTGATTATGAATAACGGTTTCAAATACTTACTTTGGCCAGTACGTTTAATAACTTAATTATAATTGATAAGAGCTTCCAAGTAACTAAATTAATGTCCAGGTAACTGGTAATAACTGTTACTGGCAACTGGTAATGACTGCTTGTAACTGGTAACAAGGCTACTGGTAACAGGTAATAATCCTACTGGTAACTGGTAATAACTTACTGGTAATAGGTAATACTTACTTGTAACTGGTAATAACTGACTTGTATTGGGTAATAACTGACTTGTAACTGGTAATAACTGACTTGTAACTGGTAATAACCTACTGGTAACTGGTAATAACTGACTTGTATTGGGTAATAACTGACTTGTAACTGTGGTAATAACTGACTTGTAACTGGTCATAACTGACTTGTAACTGGTCATAACTGACTTGGAACTGGTAATAACCTACTGGTAACTGATGCTAACTTACAGTGGAGACATCCAGTGGCAGGATAAAGATGATGATCATAGAGAAGTACCAGGCTACCAGCGTGGCGAGCGTCACCAGCACGTGCTGACGGCGGATGTTCCCGTACTTGTGCAGGAGGTACGCCGCTAGGCAGAACACGCAAATTACCTGCAGATGGCAAAGGATATAATTTCAGTCAGTCAGTCGATGCCAAAGTTTGTAATAGATCTTGAATCAACTGAGCCAAGGAGTAGTGAATGTAAAGTTCAGACCATGGTTTTAGCTAGAAAAGAGTATGGTCAGCTAGAGCCAAGATCTTAGGTCCGGACTAAAGATTACTTTCTGTTTTCCAGTACTATTCAATAGATGCTTGCAATGAAACAAAGATTCTGTAGTTTTTGTTGTTATTCTTCAATTTCTGAGAAAATGATATCTTTATGATATCAACTGAAATGTGTCAAATTTAATTGACCCCCTCCCAGGGCTCTAGCCAGCTCAGTTTTTTTTCCGTCAGCCCAGGTTCCAGATCTAGTGAGTGCTTGCATCTTGGGGGTCAGGTGACAAATTTTCAGTTTTCAAGCCTTTATAAATGCAATTTCCCACATTTTGAGAGGCAAATCATGGGGTTGAGAGTGGTTGTAAAATGGTGGTCCTTTGGATGTTCCTAATCTTATACTGTATTTTTACCCAACATTTTGGTCAGCTTTGTCCATAGCATTAAGGTTGACGGATTGGTTTAAAAATCTTTCCATCATGCATCACAAAGTTCCTACAATTGACAGAAAAACGGGTGCTGGCTAGCTAGAGCCTTGCCCCCTCCTGTGTTCTTGGACTGTTCCTTACCTCCACTGCTAGCGGAGCCACACTCATGGTGATGGCCTTGTGTTGTCTGCTGAGATCTTCAGTTGTCTGTTCTAAGGTCTGGCCTATCTATGTCGTACCACAGACTGTCTGTAGGAGAAATAATAATAATATATGTTGCATATGTTTAACACATAAAATGGGACGTTACAGCTATGAAATTGGAGAGTGGAGACATTTTTTCAGATTCATTATCAAAAGTGCTTAAAACATTGACAAAAGCTAGACAAGTTCTCATTATATGTAGGAGATAAAATGATTCAATATCATAATGATTTTACTTGGAACCGTACCATTGATCAGATTTTAAATGGTTATCATGACATTGTGTTATGAGTGGAACAAAGGTTTAAGTCAGTGATTACAGGTGAGAAATGTCTATGGAAATAACACTCATATGAGATCATTTTCTTTACACAGGGGAGCTCTTATCTTTTGAATAAGTAATAATTTATGATCCTCACTAAAACTATATTGCTACAATCAAGGACATCTCTGCTACAATATACCAAGGATATACGAAAAATAAACATAATTTTGTTTTGAATTATGATTTTAAATCCAACCATATTTTGTAAATGACAGATCCTGGTGTTAACGCATATAAAGTGTCAACGAAAGTACTAGTATCAGCATACATCTGGCGTATTTCCTATTTGTAATTTGATAGGAAACATACGATGGGGCACACTTGGGGCATGACATCATTCTGCACTGCGTGACGTGGCCGCCCCCCCCCCCTCCACACAGGTTCACATAAAAATTGCCGCATGAATGGACTTTACGTACGCGCATGTCGCTATCGATATAAAATTATACCGTAAAATTTGATATTTAGCTGCTAGTTATAGAATATCCGTTGTAAGCTGCGTATTCCAACCATAAACCACCATTTTTGCGAGTGACACCTGTGCCCAAATCGTACGTAAACAGCTGACACGGTTTGAGAGCAAACAAAATAATCACTATTTGTCGAGAAATGCGAAGACGAAAAGAGATGAAAGACACAATTCTGTACCATCTTACCTTTACATCGCTCGCTTTACAGTGGCGTGGCCCGATTTCACATTTGCGGCGAAAAATTCTCGTTTTTTCCTCACCCCATTTTTCTCCTACCGGCCATTTTCTGACAACAATATTCACATCTGCGAACAATTGAGCGCATCCACATGCAATACTTTTCGTTTCTGCAAGACATACCAACTTCTGGTCATCACATTATATTAAAGAATACAATTTATTTTAGTAAGCTGTACTAGCAACAATTGAAACGACCTGCAATGTTAGTTTCTACAAATCAGTACATTAATCTCGGCGTTGTTTGCATGCGGTGCAGAATAACCGCTGCCAGTTTTTTTTGGCAACACCTCAGTAGCGGTCCACGTGAGTCAGCACCTGTCACAGTCATGGTGGCAACGTTACTTTATTTTAGGTGCAGAAACATTTTCTCCTTCAATGTTACGGTCTCTGACCGTAAACAGGACTACTTTCCGTACAATTTTCTGTAAATGATTGTCTTTTTTTAACATACCTGGTAATGAATGAAGTGAACCAATCAAGGATTTAAAGGGCAGTGGACAGATACCTTCACTTCACTTGCCATTCAGACAAAAAGATTTGCCCCATACATGCGTAAGACAATACTTTATTGTCTTTAGCCAATGTGGGGTTATATGGTGTATTTGGTCAATTAAAACTAATTTGTCATCATTATCTACGGACTATGCATCTACAAATGATACATCCTGCTTTTCACATTGTCAGTAATGTATGTAGCTCTACTGTCCCTATTCCTATTACTTAACGCTTTGCCTGTAAGCTTTGAGAAAGAATTTCACATGACATAATCACAAAGAGAGGATTTCAAGTGTAATGTGACACTGTGATAATCATCTACATGTTTTTCTTGATGTTCACTTATAAAAATTTTCCTGTAAATCGTTGTAGTTTCATGTTTTATTGTGTCAGTTGAATTTCCTAATATAAAACATTAGTCTCATACTAGCAAAGGTGTTACTTTGTAGTGTATCCATTTGTCAAGGATCTGGATTGCTTGTTGTAACTTGTAAGGGAAGCAAATGTTGTGTGATTTGAATTTGAAACTGTACATATCAACATAAAAGAAAAAAACAACAACCACGTCTCTGGAATGATAGCAGAACTTCTTTATTTTCAGTTCACCATTTTCTGTAAGGAAAAAAATTATATTGGTGTATCTCCAAGCTCAAATCCTTCATTCCTCAGATCTGGAGGCGGATCCACTTTTGTTTGAAGTCAAATCTTGGCTGATGGCATATGCTGATGACATGCTTATCCTTGGTGTATCAGAACCCGGAAAGTTTGTCTAATAGCTGACGGATCATCGTCCTTATTTGGGCATTTGTCATGTGCTCAGAGCTGGCAATGGCATTGGCCACCACTATTGTGTCCTTCACAGTCTTGGCTTTGACCCAGATGCGTCCGTTCACCCCCACAGCTGTCTCAAATGGAACGTTCTTCCCCAGGAACTTCAGGATGTCACAGTTGGGAGACAGCATTCTGGATAGGATGAAGGGAGAACCAGGTTTATGTTTTTATTTATCCTTCTACACTTCATGGTGCTATGGTAAAACAGAAGTACACTGTACATACAAGACCACAGAAACTTTATTATTTGCTTGTATGGTACTGGCAAGAGGGTGAGAAGAAAATTTGTGATCTTATGTGAGACCCACCCTCCTTATGCTTCTGTAAATGCCACTAGTATTTCTATGATATGTGGAATTGTTGTACGTTTGTATTTACATTTGCCAGTGCGCAATTTTTAAAAACACTAAGCTTAATTTTTCCACAGACTTTCTATTCTAGAGCATATTTTTCTGGAGCATTTAGCACATGTACTATATTTCTAAAACTGTTTTTTTCCAATCCAGATTTGTAGAAAATAGATCAGATCTAAAAAAAAGTACTGTATAAGGAATTGGTCCTTTTAACCCAACTCACTTTCTGACGAGGTTGAGTGAGGTGTGGAACATGAAGCCTCCGTTAGCAGGGATGACTCCGTACCCACTGCTGTGTCCTCCAGAGTCAATACACACCAGCTCAGGCTCCATGTCTTTATTAGCTACCAACAGCTTGGCAAACACAAGGTCACCAACCTGGGGATGGGCAGAAACATGTCTTTATAACTACACATGGACAAGTCCATTAATATTGTATGTGTACATGGGACGCCGGATTATATTTGAAAACAGTTACGTCTGATCAAGAGAGACACACAGCACCTGTCACAGGTGGTTAACACCTTCAAACCATCTGTCACAGACTCGCAGGTAGTTACCACCTTTCTAATGTAAAAGTCACCTGTCACATTTCAGGTGGTTAGACTGGAAAAACAGTAATGACTTTGAATAGAAAATGTGAATAACCTTGCAATTAAATAAATCAGAACTTAAGTCAAGATACAGTAATACAAGAGTGAGTACCTGTGTGTTGTTTTACTTCATATATGAAAGCCTAAAGTACAGTCGTATGTACATTCAGATATAGGTTGACACATTTCAACTGTCTACTAACTTGTCTGTCCTTCCTTTCTTTCTTTTTTTTTCATTAAAATGTTGTTTCAAAATAAGTCTGAGCCCAACCTTAACGTTTGGTCTGTTCCTCTTAGTTGCCCCCTCGAAGGCCAGGTAAGACAGAGTTGCAGGCTGTGTAGCTCCGATGTCGACTCTGTACACGTCGCCTGACTTCACCGTCACAATACCTATCACATCCTCACCCTTAGCTGGGATGTACTGGAAACGAAATATACACAAAAAAACATAAATGTACATCAAACAGCACACACTGCATTAAACGAAGTACCTAGAGACTTGAGGCAAGACCAAGCACCAAGTGAGAAAAAAACAAGTCACCACGTCTAGTACGATAGCAGACGTTAAAGGACAACAACAAACATTTCTTGATTACAAAATTTAAGAAAGAGTGTGTGTGTGTGTGTGTGGGGGGGGGGGGTAGCCAGCCTGATCCAACACATCGACATGTATGCTAGTATAGTAACGTAAAAAAAGGCTGGTTCCCTTGAATTTAAGGTTATAACTGACATTTCTTTACATAAAATCAAGTAGCCACCTGTGTAGAAGAGCACCACCTTACGAGACATAGAAAAGAGACCAAATGTATGGCAAGCCCTTGGTGTAAACAAGACAACACGTGTTTGCATGCTGGTTGCGAGTTCTCACCCTTCTTTGGTGGCAGTCTATCCAGTATAAGTTGGGTTCTTTGTGACGAAGGATCCCGCTCTTCGTTACCAGAACTTCCTCTCCGTCCTGCCTCAGTCCTGGACCAAGTGCAACTTTGGACGTTTTCTCGGAGGCCCGAAATTCCGATAAAACGTCACCGGGAATCACAACTTTACCGACGGAGTCCGCCATTTTGTTTTCTGCTGCTGACAACGTGAAAAAGCGACACCCTACGGTTAACTTAAGTACTGCAGCCAGTGATCTCGGTCACGCATCACATGTACACATGCAGCCATTTCTCTTTTGAATTATAATAAATCCCATTTTTCTGTGTTTGTTAATAGTAAATAAAGAGCTTGTTAAGTATTGTTTACACTTACAGTACTCTCCTTTATTTTTATGATTTGGTTCTTGGACAAGATGATCAACTGTGCCAATTTACTGAAAGACTGTCTTTATACAATTAGAGAAGATGTTGCACTAGATTTTTGATATCCTTTCGAATGAAGTAATACAGAGTCAAATGACAAAAGAAGGCTTAGAAATAAAAGGAAGCTTTTATTTGGAAGTGACATTCAATAAGAAGACATTGCAATAAACAGAGTGTTTTCAATGGTTATCTTATTTTCATCCACAACTCCGTAATAAAAGGCTCATATGTGTGTAAAGATACATGTGTACAATCTTGTAGAGGTGATAGTTACATAAATGTGTGGACTTACTGTAATTCAAAGACTGTTGATTTCTATACAAGTAAGAGAGCATACCATCTTTTCATGAAAGCATCCTCTTACTGATTTTGTTTCAATATTGATGAAAACTGCAAATTGATAGAATCATCAATGAACACACATGCTATTAATGTCTCAATAAAAATGGTTTATTTGGTTTCTACTGATCAGTTTTGTGGGGTTTAAGAGGGATGTCCAGGTTGATGTCTGCTCCGTCCTGTACTTTGGCAGCCTCAGCGGCAGCTATGGCAGCCCTGAACGCTTCCTTCATCGCCTCCTGTTTCGCTTTCTTCTCCTTCTTCTTCTGTTTCCTCTCTTCTTTCTCTATTTCCTCCACCATGGCCACAAATTTAGGACTGGTGGGGTGGACGTTGTATCCCAGCCGCTCGCGAGCCTGACCAATCAGACGCTCCTTACGTTTCTTGGCTTCCTCCAGCTGTTCTTTCTTCTGCCGGCGCTCCTCGTGGACCTGCTCGATGAGTTTGGGCATCTTCGCCATATTCGCAGCAACCCGCTTCTCCCTGGAAAAGAGATAGGGAAATTTTGCATTTTATCATCTAAGAAAACATACCACTTATGAGCTGTAGAAAATACATAAAAAGAGTGAAATATCCTGTATTCTACTTGCAAAGGCAGAGAAAAAGGAAAAAAGAAAACAAAATAAAATTGGGGCTGCCGTTACGAATCGGATGGCACCCAGGCTAGAGTCAAATCATGTTGCATTGAAGTTGAACAGCAAGTACTGTTGGTTGACATCAGTGAAGCATTCATTCAAAACAACACGATTTATATTTTTTTCCAGATTCCAGTTGTCTAACCAAAGTCAAACAGAACAGAGCTCCTAGATTAATAAATGAGGTAATAGGTAGGAAAGTATAAACCTAAGGGCTGCAAGTATTCAATAACCATAAAGACATATAAAATAATAACCAATAATAAAAATACAAGAAAGACAGTTTGCAAATATCTAGTCTAACAATTCATGACAAAAGGACCCCTACTTGACCAGTTGTTTATCTACCGGTAATTTTCCAAGTTTTTGCGTAGATGTGTATTCTAATTCGGGATAATGTTAGTTAAATCTTTAAGTTTAAGATTGTCGTCAGCCCACCAAGCTAATTTAGCCTCGGCCTGTGCTGCCCTCTTGACAGCGATGTTCTGCTGCATCTCCTGTAACGTCAGGTACCAGTCTCTCTCCTCCTCCTGCAGGTCTGCAAGCTCTGCTTTGGTTGGCCAACACATGGATGGATCCAACCCTGAGAAAATAAAACAGGTATTTTCCAAACAACCCTAGAAAAAAGCCTTTTTTTTGGTGGACCCTGGCAAATGCAAGGAACATAAATTTTCAAGCTGATTGACCATTTCTAGCTCCATGACCTGACACCTGAGGGATGAAACATTGTACAATCGGCTTTTCAACATTGACATTGAAAATCAATTTGTTAAACTGTATGTATAAGTTGTATCACTAGAGTCATTGCCAAAGTCTAAAAAAAAAGAGAAAAAAATCCCTATAGCTACCAACCCTAATCTTTTTAGGCCTGAAACAGAAAACACAACATTTTTTCCTAGGCCTAAGTGTTTCTCATAACTCGTACACTCATCTCTATCTGTCTACCTAGTATTTCACATCTGTCTAGACTTGTTAATTATAAGACCACATTTTTTTTATGTTCAAATTTGAGCCAACCCACCATCTCATCTCCCTTCCTCCTCTCTCCTTACTTTTTTCTGTCACCCCCCAATCTCCCCAACCCCTCCCCCCAGCTCCCTGCCTTTTGATCGTCCATAATGGCCATCCTTTCTACTCCATCGATCCCAGTGCCGTGACTGGAAGTCTGCGGCTGAACGTGCTTACCTGACGCCTCCCCGTGTCGTCCCCACAGTTTACGGTCAAACTTCAGCGTTTTCTGGAAGTCCGGAGTTTTGGGGTCGGTCTTATCTGGTATGTATCTGCTCCTGTCAAGCGGGAACGGCGGCGCTCTGTATCTCGCCACTTGCATACAAGAGTCATACTGTGTTCTACAATATTCTGAAGCTGTTGAAGATCCTAAACAAGGTCCGACGTTCCTGAAATGGCACAGAAAAGCTAGTCTTGGGAATTCTCGAGCAATGGAGGTCGCCATTGTGATGATGAATATTGCTGGGCCTTCCTGTCGGTCCCATTGCCAAGTCCCCCTAGGCCTCTCTGAAATAAGAAAAATCAAGATAAATTTAGGATAGAAGAACTAGTAAATATGAATATACAAGCAGGGACTATATCTATTATCTACAGGTCTTTCCATTCACCATTCAAACTAGATTAAAGCTAGTATTATAGATGTTAAGAAATTGAAAAATATCTTATTCAGGACAATTTTTGTTGGAAGTATAGGGCCTTGCAAGATGGGTTCCACCAAGACGGTGGCGTATTTTTTCGACCCCGACGTCGGGAATTTCCACTATGGTAGGTGATGTTTTCTAACCCATCTTAATGATCATCTTGTCCCTGAAATGATGAGTCATCCGAAGGAGATGTTTCTTTGGTTCCCCTTTAAACCTGCGTTCTCTTTCCGTTGGACATTCTCACAGAAAGGGGGAGGGGGGCACGTAAGGTTCTTCTCAACTTCTTTGTTGTAAAACTAAAGGGAGCTCTGTGAAGGAGAGACCAGGACTGGAGGGACTATTTTCTTCCTGACGTTTCTGCATCTTGTCTTGGTTTGTTGTGATGTACAGAAATATTTGATGCCTTCAAGCATTGAAACTATCGATATGTGAGGTAAAAAGATAATTTTCACTGATGTGATTTGTATAGTAGAAAAGTATTTCAACGAGAATAAAATAATTTCGACACTTTGTCACACTCACAAATTATGACTCACACACACACACAAAATTCACAAATTTATGTTCGTTTGTTTGTTTTCATGCACTTTCTTCACCGCACCCCACCGGCCGCAATAGCCGTGCACCCTGAGCGGGATGCCCTAGATAGGGCTTTGCTCAGAATAGAATAGATCACAGCAAAAAGCAACGTTACAAATACAGGTAGTGTCAGACTGAGATCAGTTTTGGAACACAATATCTTTATAATATATATGGTTCTTTAATACAACGGGTGATATGGTAGATGTGTTTGTTTGTTTGTTTATTTATTTAACCAGGAAGTACATGTCGCCAATAATTGGCAGTTTTCAAAGATTCCTGGGGGGTTAACCCCAACAAAACTACATGACATATAAATTATAATTATAACAAAAGATTAAAGATGAACTAACAAAGGTCAACTTAAAATAGATTAACTTATCGTGAACAAGACGAAATCATAACTAACTCATCAACAATCAAATGAAATAAGGTAACATAGAAGTAATTATAATCGTTCAGATATCAAATCATAATGGTTGATAATCATGTGTGATTGTGACAATGTGAATGAGACATCAAGGAGACATGAATCATAATTTTTGTGCTCCTTCTACTTATTAGATGATAAGTATTAAAGTAATTAAAAAAATGGCACTTTTTTCTGTTATCCCAGGCCAGGGCCACCCCATGAAGCCCCATCGCCTGGCCCTCACACACAGCCTAGTACTGCACTATGGGCTCTACAAGAGGATGCAGGTATGAACATATTTTGTAATAATTTGTTGTCCTATCATATGATATCCAACAATCCCATTATGCTTCTTCTTCTATTGTATATGTATACAACATGTATAACTGACATGCATAGAAATATATTCCCGAGAATATGTATGTACGTACTAAATAGTGAGATGATATTGCTTGGATAGTCAGATTCAATGTAGCTTCTCCTTGAACAATGTATAAACCTCCAATATCATCTAATAGTACATGTAACTGTAAACCCTACTTTTTTATATAATACTTGACGTAAAACCTTACCGCCATACCCAGGTGTACCGCCCGTACCGTGCCACGGTCCACGACATGTGCCGCTTCCACTCGGAGGACTACATCGACTTCCTGCAGCGCGTGACTCCGCAGAACGTCCAGAACTTCACCAAGAGTTTACAGCAGTTCAACGTCGGCGATGACTGGTAGGTTGTTTGTGTTAGTCCTGGGAAAAAATGTTGTGTTTCCTGTTTCCCGACCGACCCTAGAAAAAAACTGTCGACCCTACCCTTTTCTTGTGTGGGTCCCTCCAATATCCATGGGACATCCAGCTTATCAACCTTTTGTAGCTCATTGATCTGACACCTGAGTGATGAAACGTTGTACAATTTGTTACACTGTATTACTGTGTTTGATCTCTAAAGATTGCTAAGCCTAAAGTAAAAAAAAATGATAATAGTAATCCCTATGTACCGATTTTTTTCAGGACTAATATAAGAACAGGAAACACAACATTTTTTCCACAGTCCTGATATCTTTACATCTTTTACATGGCCTGCAGAATTTGCATACCCAGGTACCTATATATATATATTGACAATACATGTACAGTGAAATGCTACAGGGGCCACATATAGACAGTTCTGTAATTTAGAGGTATGTGATTTTTTTTTCATTGCAGCCCAGTGTTCCCAGGTCTCTTCAACTTCTGTTCCATGTATACTGGAGCTACACTGGAAGGAGCCGTCAAACTCAACAACAACGTAAGTTGCAATCGGACACTTTACATCAGGTCTGATTTATCAAAATTACTAGCTGAGCATAGTGCTGTGTACCAGTTCACTGGACTTGAATCGGGACTTGTTAGAATGTTTAGGTTCAAGTGAAAAAAACCTAAAAGTCAAGAACCGAGTCCGGACTTATTACCATAAGAGACCATTTCACATACCTCTTTTCTTTCCAAACCACCTAAAACCTTATGTACATGTAGATTGCAAAATCTGTGCTGCAAAATGAAGAAAACATTGCCATCGGGCATTGTCAAGTACAATCCTCCATGTTATGTGGCCAAAGTTTCACCCAGACTGCTTGCAAGGTTGCCAACATGCAATTTTGTATATGCCATGGGTTTACGTCTGGACTTACTAGTCCGGAACTGAACCTAAACCTCTGGACTTGAATCCGGACCTTGACCTAAATGTGGGTTTAGGTATGCAGCACTAGCTGAGCAGATGTTATTTTGATACGTAATATGTTACTAATGTGTTGTGCCACATATTATTTGGCAGATTTGTGACATAGCAGTGAACTGGGCTGGAGGTCTACATCATGCAAAGAAATTTGAGGTGAGAAAACCCACACAACATTTTCACAAAGCCTTCTCACTTTTGCTACATAGACTTATACACGGTATAGACATTATGTTAGTAGAATACTTTCTTATAACAAAATACAGCCCTGTGGTAATGAATCATACCTGTTGTTATGCCTGAATTGAAGTGTCTTTACAATGCACATAGAGCACTTAGTATTGGGAAATCAAGTATCTTTACATGTTATTTGTAATGAAGCACCTCATCTTACAATTATTCACTGTCTTTTTTGTCACAGGCATCAGGGTTCTGCTATGTCAATGACATTGTCATTGGGATACTGGAGCTACTAAAGTTAGTATGATTAATTCTTCAAAGTCTGCTTTTTCTTCTACATTTTCCTCCTCTTGCTTTTAAGTGAAAGACAATGCCAGTGCTTGCAGTTGTTTTATCCTATATTCTTAGCATGAAAGTTCATCTGTGTTGGTACAGGTCATTATGAAATAAAGACTAAGCTTTAACTTCCAACACTTAAATTACGGAGTTGGGACTTACCCAAATTTTCGTATGACCTGCTACTACGGTCACGTGTCTCTGACGTCACATTCCAAGAGTAGACGGGTCCATTCCGTGAACAAGGTTGATGGAGTTAACCAAAAATTTGGTTAAGTCTCAATTCCGTTTACTAATTTAAGTGTTGGAAGTTAAAGCTTACTGCTTAATCTTTATTTCATAATCCTATATTCTGTTTACATGTCTCAGCCACATGAGAGATCATCGTCTTTAAGTTATTTGATTTACAATTTATGTCACTTAAGTGTTGACACAAGTATTTGCCCCCCTCCCCAGATATCACCCACGTGTCCTGTATGTTGACATTGACATTCACCATGGTGACGGTGTTCAGGAGGCGTTCTACCTGACAGACAGAGTCATGACTGTCTCCTTTCACAAGTATGGCAACCACTTCTTCCCTGGTACAGGTGGGTTGCTTTACTTGTTCTTTACTTTAGAATATGCTACCAGGAAAACCGGCTGCTACTTGTAATGTACCTGACTGACAATCTTTCATGTACATGTTCCAAAAAATTCTGTCTTATCATATAGTATGATCTGATGCTAATGTGTAATCATTTGTTTCCAAAATAGAAGGAGTTGGTTGTATGCTGAAGTCAGTGTTTTCTTTGTTTTTGCATTTGGTTTTATTAGTACAATATTGTTTTTGCTCTGTTTCTTCTTCCATTCCAAACACTGACTTCTGACCTGGTCAATGACCTGAGCCAGACCTTCTGTCACCATGGTAACTGGTGTTGGGTTACATAATGTTGCAATTTTATAGTAGGGGGGATTTAGACTCCCGTCACCATATTTCATGAACTTTTTTCTGTCACAGGTGACATGTATGAGGTTGGTGCAGAAGGTGGGAAGTATTACTCACTCAACGTACCACTCAAGGATGGCATCGATGACCACAGTAAGATCATTTTCAACAGTCTTAAACACAATTTCTACAATTACATTGTGTTTCGGATCACTCTGAACAACTTAGTGTGTGTTTTTTGTGTTGCTGTTGAACAATACTTCATTACGAATGTCTTCTATTTTTCCTTCCGTTTGTCCTAGATTACCGCCAGCTGTTCAATCCCATCATGCAACAGGTGGTTGAGTTCTTCCGCCCCACCTGTATTGTACTACAGGTGAGATGGTTCTACATGTGTCTGTTCAAGCTTGTTGGAACTTACAAACTTTTCAGACATCATCAAAACTGCTATCCAAAACATATGTAGCTTTTACGACTTCAAGGAACAAGAAGTTAAAATAAAAGACATAGAAGGCCTAGTTCAGTTGTTATTTTTTTACACACTGCCAGAAATAGCAAAACAATGCAAAGAGATAACAAGAAAGGAAAGAAGGCAAATGATTTAAATGTGAAGAAATGATTGACCTCTCCTGATTCCGTGTTCTGCAGTGTGGTGCTGACTCCCTGGGCTGTGATAGGCTGGGCTGCTTCAACCTCAGTGTCAAAGGTCATGGGTAAGCACACCATTGTCCATCACCTTCACCTATGTGTATACTATGACACCACTGTATTGCTGTGAATTTTACAGTTTCTCCTCCCAGACATTTTATCTTATGAATCAAAGATTATTGCCCTTTTCATGTTCATGCATTAGTATGATGATACTGTAGAATGATGATATTGTATTACCCGGTATGATGTCATTCATTCATTCATTCATTCATATTACAACAGTATACTAGCAGCCACTATGCATCTTAGTCAGTTGATGTTGTGATTTTTGCCAACTCGCCCCCCCCCCCATTTCATTTTCTGTATCTTGTTGTTTCCCTGCCCACAGGGAGTGTGTCAGCTTCATGAAGGGGTTCAACCTCCCCCTGCTGGTACTAGGGGGAGGGGGGTACACTGTGAGGAATGTGGCCAGGTGCTGGTAAGTGTCACAGTCAAATTATGCATGTAGTATCGTAAAGCTCTAGTATTTTACGGTACTCACACACTCACTCTCACTCACTCACTTACTCACTATCTTAAATACAATTGCGGTATCTTTTCATATTACTTGAAACATTTCATCTCTGAAAATTTATACATCTGCATGTATTTGTTGGGATTTCTTTTTAGTAAACATTTGTTGTGTTTGTGCAGGACACATGAGACGGCCCTGTTGTTAGATGAGGAGGTCAACAATGAGCTGCCCTATAACGGTACGTCCTTATCTGTGACAATTCAGCCTAGTGAGGGTAAAGAAGCTATATAGTGCCTGGTATGTGATACACTATAAAGTACAGGTACAGTACCATACCTACTAAGGGACTCATGTACATGTACATCTTGACATGAGAATTCCAATACAAATTCCTTATGATATCCCTGTTGGCATTGCTGAAATATGTTCCTCTTATCTTCTGAAAACTCTTTATTTTCCCTCAGAGTATTTTGAGTACTTTTCACCAGACTTCACGCTGCACCCTGACACCAGCACCAGGATTGAAAACTGCAACACCAAAGGGGTAAGTACAGGGGGCATTTGTAAGGACCAACTTTCTATATCAGTGCTTCTTCACTTCTGTGGTTATTTTAATATGAGGGCTTGCATTGGGGGTCTCGACAATGTTCTACGCTAAATTTTGAGAGCTACGTATTATGCTAAATTCATGAAGATTCTCAATTGCGTTTTATGAGAAATTCCGGGTAGCTACAACGCATAACATAAAATTAAAACAGCAAATTACGCTCTACACAAAATGCACCAATTACACTCTACATTGAATTAGAGCGGTCCGTCTATGCTCTATGTAGAATCAAAACAGCTGATTATGCTCTCCGGAAAAGGGAATGCGGGCCCCCTAATATGTGTGTTCAGTCTCTTTCTATAATATGTTTCTTGCTACGTCGATGAAGGTTAGACATCCAGGTAATACGATATGCCAAAAAGCAGTTACTCAAATCATATCTAGTTGCTTGAGTAACTGCTCTCTGGCAATATGTTTCTTGGTTTCCTAAATCTTTTTTCTTGCCTCATCAGTATCTTGAACAGATTCGGCAGACCATCAATGACAACCTGAAGTCGCTGAGCCACGCGCCTAGCGTACAGATGCACGATATCCCGCCGGACCTTTTCAGTCTGGAGGTGGTGGAGGAACCAGACCCGGACATACGCGAAAGTGTACAAGACCAGGACAACAGGTAAGGAAGTGCTAGTAGTAAAGGGAGAGGAAAGCAAGCTACTTATTTTAGGAGGGAGGGTGTGAGGTTACAATGTTGTTGGAGATTCACAAAATGTACTGTGTTACATGAAGTTGTAGGCCAATAATTTTGCATTTTTGGTGATAATGCTACAGCATAGAGTATATTTTGACAAGTATTTTCATTTATGTAGTCTTACAATAAAACCTCTTTCTCTTTACTACAGGATTGAACCAGCTAACGAGTATTATGATGGAGACAAAGATCAAGACAGAGACAACGACCTGGATGTATGACAGTCTCCAACATAGCAGAACTCTGCTGATAACAGCTGATGTATTGTACATATATGTGTAGTCATCCTAAACCTGCATTTTGTAAAAGGCTTTGGTTTTGTTTTAGATTCTAGAGGGTACAAAGAGACAAAACAAAATATGAGAAACAAACTGCTGGTTTAATGGAAAGATACAGGATTTATTAGGACAGTACATGACAAGGGATTTTGAAGGTAGTGAATTTGTCCCCTCTATTCTGTAACAGTGGTTTTATAATGTTAAGCCCCTGTGCTGATGAGTACAGTTTTTACATTATGTCTTGTACATACTTCTTAACCTGGACTTTCCTCTTATGACCTCTAACCATTTTTCCTCAATGTTATGTCCATTGTTTAATGTATAGTGTATGGTGTTTCTACAAGTACAATGCCATAAAGACAAATTTAGTGGCACTCTCTATTGTTATGGTCAAGCATTAAATTACAATATTTAGATGTGATATTCATAAATGTGTTGTCTATTGTCAATATTTACCATTATCCAGATACTGATGATAAATGAAAGAAGTTGACCACCCACAGGTTACCATTAATTATTACTGGTTAAAGATGTTTCACAAGGAAGTAAAGAAAATGCAGATTAACTGATATGAAATCCTGCAATTAAACACACTAGGCTTCACTGTGACTTGACAAACATACATTGTAAGGTACAGCTTGTAACATATTTTCTACTCAGAATTTCTGTCAGATAATACCCCCAATGTACATTTGTAGTCAATGACTATTGGAATGATAACTTGTATGAGACAAACACTTCGCTTGTATTTGTAGTTAGATCAACCAGCCATTAAACCAGTGCTGGCAGCAGTAACGTCTCACATGGCAGCGACGACGTCTGTTCCACCACCATCCATGGCAGCGGCTAGTTGAGCAATATCTCACACAAACTCTGATTGGGTCAATGCCAGCCGGAATGTATTGTGGCACGTAGTGCACGTCTCGGACATGCCTTCTGTCAACCCGAGCCTCACCTGCAATAGAATGTCTAACACATATCAGCAAGAGGAACTACCCGTAACTACATAGAAATAAAATAAAGCATGTATATTAAGTAGCAAGGTGGAAGGGGCACTTGGATTCTACCATTCCACCTCCATTATGATACGCTGGTGGGTACTGCCCTGGTTTAGATCGAGAGAGAGTAAAGCTCTACATTATGAGCTCCCTACATCCTTACAACAACGTTTGGTTGTAGGACAGTGATAATTAGGCACTAGAAACAACAATAACTAGTTGACTCACATGCATACATTAAGTAATCTTTTGTTTATGTGTAACATTTTTATATTTCTAAATGAGATTGATATACAAAAATTATGAGCTATTCAAATGAAATATCCTCACCTAAGGTGTTTTCTGTCTCTTCCGCTCCGTCCTCTGTTCCTTCTTGTATGGCCAAGAGGGACCGCTGAAGAAATGAGAAACAAGCAAGGCTATAGTGAAATTCCCTTTTTTTAAAGGGCCACCATAGTCACAAAATCAAAAGTCAAGTAATTTGTAATACTGGAAGCTTACCTCTTGAGGCTGCCCTCCAGCTGGTTGGAGCAGGATCATAAAAAGTGCTACACCCATGAACAGCATCACGGTTGCCATGGAAACACGCCCAGGTCGCTAATCAATTCAAAGTAATGAGAGCATAATCGTGAGTAGCCTGGTATCCAGTCTATCGTGGTTGGGGCTGAGCTTCTGTAGCTCCGAAGAGGACGAGCCCCAACAACGGTAAGCTGGACACCAGGCTACATCATGAGTAAACATGAGTTCAGAGTAATGAGAGCATAATCGTCAGTAGCCTGGTAGCCAGTCTATCGTGGTTGGGGCTGAGCTCCTGCAGCCTCGAAGAGGACGAGCCCCAACAACGGTAAGCTGGACATCAGGCTAGATCAGGAGTAAACATAAGTTCCGTTCTTTACTAAACGCCACAAATAAATGGTTTCTGAGCCACTGTCGGTTTTTAGTGTGATCCATATTTCTAAATGGCTGTACATACGGATAAAACTTGTGTGGTGCATGTAATTTTCAATGTTATACAAAAAAAAATTGTTTCTACTGCTTCAAGCAGATGTAAGGAAACCCATTACATGGAACACCTTTTGAGTGTATTTGTATCTTCCCCATATGTAAATATTTATATAAATTTTCACCTTCGTAGGACAGGTACTTTTTTCCTATTGTAAGTGTTGTGTCATCCAAAGAAATTTTTTTATATAATTATAATACAACATCTAATCACAAGACGTGGTGACGGCACACTCAAGTTTTTTCAACTTACATTAATGCCGCCACCAACACATGTACAGGGGACAATACATACAATACTCATTTTCACTTGAGCGAAGTGAGGAAAGTTGTGTAAAGTGCCTCTCCCAGGGGCACAAGATCGGTGGAATGTCAGGACTCAAATTCGGGATCTCTTGATTCCAAGTCGAGCACTCTGTCGCTGCGCCACACCCCACATCCAAAGAAATTCATTGTCGTTGTCAATTCTGGTCAGTAAAAATGGACACATTACCCAGAGAACTCACCTTATTCTGCACCCCGGTGTCCATCATCTCTCTCGTTCATCAGTAGAATGATATTCTTACGATTCTCGGAGGTCGGCAACTCAGTATCTGATACTATATAGCTAACTGCGTGGATGTGTTCAACAATTTTCACTTTCTTTACTTCCTCTAGCCTCTACCAGACTTCAGAAGGGGATGCCAAAGAGTAGAAATTGCATTGACCAAATGGACAGAAGATCGAAGAACATGCCAAGGGAATTAGTGCCGCTCTCGAACAAACTGCACTCTGAGTTTAGTAGACCAATTCCCCTGGCATACTATCTATCTATTTCACCAATTTCTACTCTTTACAGCCGCTACTAAAGCCTGGTTAGAGGTTAACTGAGCGGCGTCTGTGTGCATGTGGTTACATGCTCTGAACACCTGTCTACTACGTAGCTTAACGTCCATAGCAACCTTCCTTGATATCGAATTTCCTTAGCAACCTTCCTTGTGGGTGAAGTCAGTCAAGCAAGTAGCCTGTCTCTTTCTTTTCGAAGATAACAAGCTTAAAGTCCAAACACCTCTTTACCGAATCATCAATTGCCAAAAACGCACGTGAACTCACTACAATGCAGTCATAATCTAATCTGAAATCTGATCGCAGACCGAGACGTTTGTGGACGTTTTAAGCCTCGTGAACCCGCATGACGAGAGGCTCTCAAGTTGTGACTCTGACTGCCGGCTAGTCATGTGGAAAGTGACAAATATAAAACGACAACAGAAACAGGAACCTGAGTGTGCAGGTGTTTAAGGTCATGGCCTCAAGACGAGAACATGCCTGTACTTGAATACACCACGGAAGTTCCGGTCAATTAGATCACCTTACCTTTTCACTGTGACGACGGGGAAACTTAGTACAGCTACGCAGTTCATTCTGAGACACTGAGTGGGTAAGGACAACCGCTCCACGGATCGTAAGACTTTATCTGCCACTTTTGTTGTCGAACGAGAGGGACGATGGCCACTGGTGTTCAGAACAAGGTGTGTGTGATATGTAATATTATACAGTATATAGATTCTTGTATTTTAGTAGTAGCTAGCGTGTTGTTGAGCGCTGGCGCTGTTTTTTCGCTTTACCTTTACTGTATAGCAAACCTTCATACTATACGGAAGTATTCGTTAGCTTTTCACGTCCTCAAGGAAGTGCAACTCTAACGAATACTTCCGTATAGTATGAAGGTTTGCTATACAGTAAAGGTAAAGCAAAAAAAAACAGCGCCAGCGCTCAACAACACGCTAGCTACTACTAAAATACAAGAATCTATATACTGTATAATATTACATATCACACACATCTTGTTCTGAACACCAGTGGCCATCGTCCCTCTCGTTCGACAACAAAAGTGGCAGATAAAGTCTTACGATCCGTGGAGCGGTTGTCCTTACCCACTCAGTGTCTCAGAATGAACTGCGTAGCTGTACTAAGTTTCCCCGTCGTCACAGTGAAAAGGTAAGGTGATCTAATTGACCGGAACTTCCGTGGTGTATTCAAGTACAGGCATGTTCTCGTCTTGAGGCCATGACCTTAAACACCTGCACACTCAGGTTCCTGTTTCTGTTGTCGTTTTATATTTGTCACTTTCCACATGACTAGCCGGCAGTCAGAGTCACAACTTGAGAGCCTCTCGTCATGCGGGTTCACGAGGCTTAAAACGTCTCGGTCTGCGATCAGACAGTTACAAACCGATTCTCTAGACTTATTCATTGCGTCATATTTTGTATAAATGCAGAGGTTTGGGTTTTGGCTTATTTTTTGCGTCTTTTTAAATGTAGGCTATTTTTATCGGGCTTTCTTTTCAGTGCAGTGGTATCTTTTCTACCCCTTTGGGTTGGAGTAAAAAAGATATCAGTGCAAAAAGAAAGCCCGATTTAAAAAGGCCCCAAAAGACGCCAAAAATAAGCCTAAACCTCTGCCTGGAGAGTAGTTCGTTTTCTGTTGTGTTTAACTCCAGAGAGTTGGAAGTAATGGGGCAACACTACGTCACAAACGGAGAACCCCTGGGATGAATTTAGACTCCTTATATTTCTGTTTATTTCAAAATTTAGAAATAAAATCTAAGTGTAAGACGAGCTCATAAAGTCACTTATGTAGAGCTACTCCCAAATCACGTGGATTGGATGTCCACGTGATTTGGATTTAACATCTAAATTTGCGTTGTCTAAATCTACATATACTAGTAGTTGCACATATCGACCTAAATAATAGACTCTCGATACGTATACGTAGAATCGTGTGTTGCTTTTTAATCATTACCCTTTAATTTGCCTGACCCATTTTTAACAGGAAGGACGGTACAAATTCCAAAAGGCCATTCAAAAATCCTCCTAAAACTATTGCTAGCTAGCGCTTGTTCTAGATTTTTAACATGTCGCAGTGCAAGACCGCTCTCGTCACTGGCGGGACCCGAGGAATCGGCTACGGTATAGCCGAGGAGCTCGCCACCGCCGGTTATGACCTTATTCTTGGGTACCGGCAAAACCAAGACCGTGCCGAAGACGCCAAGGCACACCTAGAGGGAACGTACAATGTACGCGTGTTCCTGGTGTCAGGCGAGGCGGGAGACGAAACCACGGTGGACGCTTACTTCTCCTGTGTCCAGGAGAACTTTGGTGGTAAACTGACGGCCCTGGTCCACAACGCCGGAGCGTACTGGCAAAACCGTTCCCACACCAAACCAGACGCCAGTGGCAGCTGGTTCCAAGGCTGGGAGGCGTACGAGTTCTTCCAGGGCATGTACCCGAAATGTTTCATCAGGCTGGTGGAGAGGGCGGTCACCTGTATGGAGGACGGGCGAGGGTACATCGTCGCCGTGTCTTCCCCCGGGTGTAACAACTCCCGCGGGCCGAACCTCGCCTACATCACCCCGGGTACGGCTAAGGCAAGTGTGGAGTACCTGGTCAGGCACTACGCCAAGCAGCTGGCGCCCAGGCGGATCACCTGTAACGTCGTCATCCCGGGCTTCACCAAGACCGAGGCCTGGGACCCAGTCGTGGAGGAGTTAGGGGCGGCGCAAGTCGACGCTTTCATCGGTTCCTGCGGTATGAGACGGTGGGCTTCTCCCCGTGAAGTCGGCGGTGTGGCGGCGTTCCTGTGCTCGGAGAAGGCGGCGTTCATCACCGGCGCGTCATTGCCTGTGGACGGCGGCGTCCACCTCAAGTAATTACGATAACGTCAAACCGAACATGCTTGGCTGTAGGGGACAGAACTGTCAACTGTAGGTCCCCTCATAACATAGGTCCTTTATTTCATGTACACGTAATAAATTGCAATAGCCTTCGGGCAGGAACTTGCAATAAATTTTCATTAAAAAGTGTGAAGAATGGCAACCGCCGAGTAGAATGAAATGCCATATGCATAACGCACGCGAGCATCTTGCAATTTCTGATAACTATTTAAACGTCGTTTAATAATGTATTAGTCACAAGAGGTTATCAGACATAAAGACCAACTGTTCTATCACAACCATCTTCCATAAGATCACCGTGTATTTTATTACTATCAGCGTCTGTAATATTATACATCAACGTGTACCTTCAGGTATACAATGGTTTCTAGGTACATAAAGCCACATCTTCATTTAAAATCGGATTTCATTCAAATGCGTTCTTGTTGTATTTTTTTTAGAAACTTTTTTTTTCTCCTAAAAAGCAGCTTCAATATCCTAGAAGACAAAATGCTTATTTTGGAAGTTAGAAATGCAGGCCTCCCTACTATACTTAGGCTGAAGCTGCTGAGTATCCATATACAGATATGTTACGTAATGCATTTACCAACATACCAAACATAATACAATAGAAACATGAACGAACATTCTCTTATCCTCTATCATCGGTTACTAGTACTATCTCTGTCCCCATCACCTTACCCAGCTACACACTATATAACTTTGGAAGCCCGTGGGTCTACGGGAGGGGTAATGATATACCCTAGTGAACACCGCATCTGACGCCCCATTTACAACAGTAGCTTCTACAGTTTCGCTTACACACCGTTCTACAACGGATACCCCACCAACGTTTGACTCGTTTGAGTACGCGCTCTGGTTCCTTGTGGTCCACATGTACAAGTGGCCCTGTTGAATTAAAAACGTACATAATAAGGAACGTTTCATCGACAAATCGTGGCATCTGTTGTGTACCTTTATTGACATCAACGATATAACGATTTCTAGTTTTTTTATTTGTTAACTGTATCCGTTCATCTTGTTTTGTTGTGATTTAATAAATAAAGATCTTCATTTATTAACGGATTATGTTATAAACGTTGCACTATCAACTGTGCAAACAATCGATCTACTTTACTCAATTGCAATATATAACAATTTTGCATATAACACTATTTCTACACACGAAGACATATAAATGTTTTCAGAAGTCATGCACATAATCTTATAAGCATGCATGCGTGAAAACGGTATCACTACCTATACTGGTACTCGTATTTTACCATTGTTTGATGTGTCGGCACTGGTATAAGAATCATTCTAAGTGCACTCTGACCTAGATATATTTCCCGGACCCTATTTCTTTAGTATGGTTATTCATTCAAATTTCGAAAAAAAAATTATTACCATCAAATTCACGATCTTCTCCATTTATCTCGTCAGTTGGCACTGCTCCTTCCTTGTTGCTTTCCATCAATTCCAGAAGAGAGTTCTGTAAAAAAAATAAGATTAACAAGACATTTAGCACCCGAGAGTGATCATGTATTAAAGTTTCCAAGTAGCCAGAACAAACATACGGTCTATTTGACTCCTTGTCAGTTTGTACGCTCCCAACGCTCGACATACCTCGTCTTCCTGCTGTGCATCACTCGGCTGGAGGATAACCGACACAACCACCACCAACACAGCAACACCCACAGCCAGTTTCACTGGTGTCATGGAAACGCCACATCCAGACCACTTCTTCTGTACGTGTGAGATAGGTGGACATCTTTTATGTGAATTGAAAGCTAGAAGAAGTGGTAATATTTTACCCTCAGACCTGTTTACACAGGAAAAAGGCCAATTGCCGTAGGACATGTACAGTTCATTTTTACGGTAAATCGGCCCTATCGTATATCCTATTGAGTGTTGTAACCTAACTTGTATAGGAGATAAGAATGAAGTCACTCTCATTGTGGATTCTGGTCAAGTCCAGATCTGTTTACTTTCTGTCGTGGGATCTACTGCTCAGTCATCTGTGTCTAAATCTTGGCTGCCGTTCCACGACTGCGCTCCAAATAGTCACTGAGCGACGCAGGTGTTACATGCTCCGAACACCTGTCTACTACGTATCTTAACAAGACGTCCATAGCAACCTTCCTTGATATCGAATTTCCTTAGCAACCTTCCTTGTAGACAAACTTAAAATCTTAGCCTCCATAGCATGCCAACAACTGGGGGTTTGGGGGGTCTTCGGGGTCTTTCGGAGCTTTTATGTGCTATTTTCTGATTGCATATAGACAACATAGCCGGCCTGGTTGAATTACCCCCGTTTTTAGAGCTGGGCTAATCAGAAAACAGCCGAAGACCACCAAACCCCCAGTTCTATAAGCCTGCTACGGAGGCTATTAAAATCTGCGGTCATGTCAGTCGAGCAAATAGACCCTTTGCACACCTGCTTTACATATAATTTGTCTCTTTCTTTCTTTCCTTCTTTCTTTCTTTCCTTCTTTCTTTCTTTCTTTCCTTCCGACGGTAACAAGCGTAAATCCAAATACACGACACCAATCATGACGCTCACCCGGACGCCATTCTCATTTTAAACCATTCAATGGTAGGTGACATGCACACTCAGCCCTCGTACAATATGAAGTACAAGTCACATAATATGAGGGCCCTACTGGAATAAACATGTCTGCATCGGGAAGATGTCAAACTGCAACGTCTACAGCTACCTTCACTGAAGTTGATATCCGCCTAGCACTCTTCCCTGTGACAGACTTCACGGCTACTCTTTTATTCTCTGGGGATCTCCTTATCTTACAAGTGCCATAAAAAAGACATCCGGTGTTTCAATAAAAAGAATCAAACCCAATAGACACCTTCGTAGATTTCAGGGCGGCAGCGTCAATTTTTTTTTCTGGGAAACATTCTCTCCCCGGCAAAGACCCTCGGCGGCAAGACCGTCCCCGCGGCATAGCTCGCGTCGCTCCCCGAAAAAAAGAAATAACGCCGCCGCATCAGAAGTCTGCGAAGGAGGCTAGAAACCCAACGGGTTTTGAATGTACAGTCTCTATGTTTTTAGTCCGTATTTATATTAAGTTAGCGGGTCTGACGGTTCTTTTCACAGCTGACGACACTATTGTAGTAATCTACAGACTCACCTTCTTCAGGGGGACTTTGGAGTCCATCATGTCTCTCACTGAACCCCAGATTCAGCCCGGCGATTTTTTTCTCAGCGCTCAGAAACCGCTCCTACTCATTCGGCGTCTAAAAACTATCTGCGCGATCGCAGTATTCTTCACTTCTAAAACTTCCTTGTTGATGTTGTCTTGAATGTGGGACGGTCCAACGGCTCTTGTAAACCTGGTAGGCCTTAGCTGGAATGCGATATCTGCGTGCGGTTGACCGAAACCTTTGCAGTGCTGTCGTCCCGAATAGCCAGAGGGCAGTGTGTGTAGATATTGGATTGGCCATTGGATTTGAGCCAAAACTGGCACCTTACCTCAAATATGCAGCACAGCGTCCCATCACTGTGACAGTACACCCGTATACGAACT